CTATCGAGTGACATCGAAGGGCTTTCTACGATAAGTCTACACCGGGAACTAAGAGGGCAAACCACCCAGACGCATCCGATTCCAAACTTCGAGGTAAGTACTACCACAATTTTAAATTTGTTGGCCATCGCACTGCATTGCACGCTTTATCCATTCACACACCACATGAGCACTAGGTTCATTCATATACCCACACACTCGCACACTAGAGACGCATGCGTGTGGTGAAAGCGTGGGAGTTGGCCGACTAGTTCTATAGAAGTGATGTCAGGTTTAGGGTTTTTTAGGATTTGACCATCCTTATGAGATTCCATGTAGACCATTGATCAAATGTGACATGTGGGGTGAGAAATATTAGTTATACAATCTATAAATTAGTCATTATGATCTAATGGAAGGTGTTAGAACTTTGTTCTTCAGCTTCCTTAACCAAATCTCATCAAATATTATGTGTAGAGAAAATATGTTATATCTTTCCTTTTATTTTCAATCAATCTCTACTCATTCCCCTTTTGAAGTCAATTAGCCTCTTTTACAAAACCTCTTATTTGTTTACCAAATCAAACTGCTTGGTTTATTACTCAAGCCACGATATTTAGACGGTGAGAAAAGTGGGGTGTTCCCCCTATGGTGGCATGGTGCGCCCCACACCCATATCAAGGTGTGCTTAAAAAAGGTGGGCCCTTATGTATTATGACCCCATAGAATAAAATAATTAACAATTAAACTGCGTTTTTTTAAAACACTTAGATATTTTATTTTCTTCTTTAAATATTTAAATATCATAAATTTCAGTTTTATCTTATTTGAAAAACAATTTGATGAAATAAAATATTCAAGGACTTTTAAAAATTTATTTTAATATTCTAAAAATTATTTAAAACAAATAATTTTATTTTTAAATGAATTTGATGGGAATTGGATCCAACTTCATTAAGAAAAATGTAAAAATACTGAGACACTCCATATCTACTGGTGACTATGTCCCACGCTCACTTTATCAAATTGACCCAATAATTCTCATGACCAACACTCCAGCACAGGGGTTTGTGATTGGACTACTAACGCCAACCAATAGGTAATGAAACTATTATGTGGACTACAGGTTCTCCCTGGACTGCAGCCAATAGGTAATGAGAATATTATGTGGACTACAGGTTCCCCCTGGACTACAGCCAATAGGTAATGAGAATGCAATCCCAATTTGTGGACTACGGGTTCACACAAATATGTGAACACTCATCGTAATTAGTGCATGTGGGCAATCTCTTGCACATGTACATGTAGCATCCTCAATGGTGTCTACTTCCCAATTCAATTATCATATATATATGTTGTGTGATGGTCATGATGAAGATTTGGCTCTTGGCACTTCAAGTTTACAAGTCATACACAAGAGCCACAAAATCCCTTAACCAACTATCCTTGGCATCTCTTCAATCTCATCAAGGGGTAATCCTACAAACTCTTCTCGGTTGTGCTATATACCCAGGTATCATAAGGTTTTAGAACACAACCCCGGCGTAGCTCGTCAAGCCTAGTCGGATTCATAACATCAGTACTGCCAAATTATGTCTCTCTTGACCATACTTCAACAGGAATTTATTATTCCACTATCATGAAATTCATTTCATAAATTGCCCCAAAAACCAACGATGGCTACGTGCCCCCACCCGTAAAAATCAAATAAAACTATTAAGATGAAAAAGACGTGCCGAGTGGGAAAACTAGTTTTCGTCCAATTCATAAGCCAATTTAGATTTGATTAACTAAGCAAACATCGGTACTATCATCACGTTATTTAATTGAAAAAGTAGCCAAAAATATTTTATGCTCCCGCATTGCTCCTCCAGATTAAATTCAACAAAAAAAAATTTATTTATTGCACACTCTCTGCTCCAAAACTGGCGATTGAATTTGAAGGGTGAAATCTTACTCTTGAAAAATTCAAAAATTCATTTTTTTTTATTTTAAAAATAATCATCTAGCGTTGACCCGATGGTTCTGAAATTTTCAAATTGAAAAAAAGAGAAAAAAAAAAAAACTTCTCTCAAGTAGCTCTTTTTACCTGAAGGAGTAGATAGAAGTATTGCACCTGCAGGAGAATCGTGCACGTGCACCTATTAGTCAAGTACATATCGTTTTTTATTAGTCAAGTAAATATCAAACTTCCCAATTGCCTTGCATCACTCGTGACGGCGTACACGATACTCATACATTATTGAACTATATGATAATACTACGGCCGCTTGAGTCGATTTGGGAAATGGGAAAGCATGGTTTCAAGTTTCAAGCATGGATATCATTTCCTTGAGTTTTCATTTTCACTCTTGAAATGATGACAAAAAGATATTCATTTTGTGCGGACATATCGTTATCCAATTGTCCTATTTCTCTCTCTCTTATTAGACCTTATAATCATCACTCCAAGACCCAACGTTATGTCCACATCCCGTGACCCCCGGACCAATGTTATACTCCTCTCTCACCTATTTGTTTTCCCTCTCTCGTTCTCTTTAGAATATGTGTAAATGGCTTATATAGATCCAAGGCGCTAAAAAATCAAATTAGAGCGCAGCTCAAAAATTTCACTAGATGAGGTTATTTTTTATGCTCAAATAGCTTCAAATTAATCATTTTGATGTCATAGACATGAGAAAAAAATAGATTTCAAGTTTTGAAAATAGTGCATCTTGTAATATACATTTTTGGACTGTCAATTTTCAAGATTTTCAAGTTTTCATGGATCTACTCGATCTACATTATTTTTGAAGGTTTAAAATTTATATTTAGAGATGAAAATATATTTTTAAGCCATTATAAAGATCTCTAGTATTGAAAGCACATTTTTCGACACTATTTGATGGCGTGCTCTACTTTGATTGCTTAGAGCCGCAACTCTATACAAACTGCACCCAGAATATATTTTTGTTTTCTCTTTGCTAGCAAAATTTTTAAAAACTTGGGGCGGGGCACTGTAGTATTAATGAAAAACAAACAAAAAAAAAATGGGTCGATCGAGACTTTCTTTGTAATTTTTGTCTATAAATGAAACATTTTGTCTTTAAAAAAAAAAAATAGTCTGGGGGGGGGGGGGGGTGGAAATGGCTGTCCATTCAAGAAAAAAAAAGTTTGATTCACTTACTAGCATAAGCAATTTCAAATGGATGTTCCAATCAATGACGGCGTTGGGCAAATGGTTGATCAACTTTCTTTGTAATTTTTATCTATAAATGAAATATTTTTACTTTAAAAAAAAAATAGCCCCGGGGTGGAAATGGCTATCAATTCAAGAAAAAAAAGTTTGATCGTCTTACCAGCATTTTCAAATGGATGTTCCAATAAGTGAGGGCGTTGGGCAAATGTTAAAAGAGTTGGTACGACCTCAACTTTGCGGCATAAAGAAAGGCGCACTTTGAAAAACCTACGGGAAAGATCATTTAGAGGTTGAAAAATTCTCCAATTTTATGATGGAAAATTGTTTCATGCGGGCTGGCCCACATGATTACATATGCGATCTAAAAAGTGTAAATCATCCATCTTTAAAAGGGATGCAAGTAGGTGTTTCATCTAAAAAAAATAGAAAGTAACAGTTCAAATGTTTTAAAGATTTACTTATTTTATCATATTCATGATCTCCGTATTAGAGATTACATGTGCTTAAAAAATAAGTCAAAAACTGTCTCAAAAATAGATTTGTTAATAGGCCTGCATTTCTACGTAGGCCGTTAGCAGCATAGAAATTGGTGTATTATTTTAAAGGTGCAGTTTGTATAGAGCCTTGGCTCTAAATGATCAAATTAGAGCCTACCTTGAAATGGTAATTTCGATACTGAAAATCATTGTGATAGCTTTAAAATATATTTTTATCTTTATATATAAAGTTTAAAGCTTAAAAAATAGTGTCATTCAATAGATCTATGAAAATTCGAAATTCTTGAAAATTGACGATCCAAAAATACGTCATAAAATACACTATTTCCAAATATTGAATCCATTTTTTTCTCATGTCTATGTAACTTGATGTTGAGATGATGAATTTGAAGATATTTGAGCATCAAAACAACCTCTTCTAGTTAAACTTTTGAGGTAGGCTCGAATTTGATTGTTTAGATCCTCGACTCTATATAAACGTTTTCCTTATAGTAAGGACCCCATATATTATTTGGATTGTTAAATATTTATATATCTATTTGATCTGCATTAGTTCTATAATTTTAAATTTCATAAGCAATAAAAAGAATAGATTTTCAAATCATTTTGAGGATTCATATATTAAAATTACACAAGCCCGCACGATTTAGAAGTCTTCCTTTCTTTGTTTGTTTTAATGTCGATGCCAACTATTTTTTTTATTATTTGGACCGAGTTATATCTTGTATAAACCTCACTTTTTTAGTAGACAAAGGGACTATATATCTTAATATTAATTTATGGGAAAGGTTTCTATACTTCCTTTATATTATAGAAGTTCTATCCTTCCCCTACCATCTAGTTGTTCAATTTTGATCAATATGTTCAATTTTGATCAAGAGAACTACTCACTGTTTGATCTTAAATTAGACTTTTCAAAATATTTTTAGTTTTTTTTTATACAAATTTTATGAATATAAAATTTGGTACATACCATCTTTTCATTGAGACGTACTTATAAAAAAGTATTAAAAATAATTTTTTGGTAAAATATAATAACTAAAATACACCTTAGAAGCTTTCAGATGCATTTTGATTATTTTATTTTATTGAAAATATTTTTTTGCTAATTGGATTTAATAGAAGAATGGACGTCCAAAATTTGATGTCAAAATAATTTATAGAAAAAAATTAAAAATATAATAATGTAGAGATGTATCATTGTGATTGAGGCAATCTTAACCCTCCGTTTAAGATCGACGGTATGACAAAGAGGACGATGGCAGCAGGAGAAGCATAGAAAGCGTGCCCTTAATTTATTGGGATATCTAACTTTCCTTAACCGCCATCGCCATTAGAGAGAGAGAGCCCAAATTCCATGATTGTGGTCTATGACATTTCCAAAATAATCGTAAAACAGAGCAAGACAACCATTACTCCAAATTTTAAAGGTCGTCACCCATGGCAGAGCTCTAAAACAGCTCCATTTTGCCTTATTTGCCACATGTTTTCGCCCTGCAAAATCCTCCATTCTCAAGTTATACATTTCACCTAAGAAAATAAACTCTCTCTCACTCCATTTCACCTAAAAAGACTCTTTCTCTCTCTAAATTTCACCTAAAAAAGACTCTTTCTCTCTCTAAAATTCACCTAAAAAAAGACTCTCTCTCTCTCTTTCTCTCAGCTAAGACTGGCCTCCTCGTGAATCTTTCCCAGAATCTCATACACCGCAGAAGCTATTTCGTCAACCGAAGTTATCCGGCACTCTTCTTCAACCTACAATCCATGAATAATAAATAAGATTTTCACTAATCCTCTTTGTTTTTATTTATTTATTTATTTATTTTTTATTTTAAATATATATGACAAAATATATGTATTGAAAATGTCAATCCTCCCTCTCTCTTAATCCCATAAAAAGCTTTCAATAATCCTCTCTCTCTCTAAGACAACCACCAGCATGCACCTAAAACAACAGAAGCTCGTACACTCTATGACATAAACATGCATATGAACAGTAGAGAGAGAAACATTAGAGAGAGAGAGGGAAAGTAGAATGTGACCTTAACACTGAAAGAGTAGAGGACCATTTGATCGACAGTGGTGATATTGAGGTGGAGGATTGTGAGGCGAAGGTTGTGAAATGCAGCGACCAGTTTGAGCAGCTGCCGCGGTCGCCTGCGCGACAGGACCTTGAGGGTGGCGTGGCTATCCGCCATGGTCACCTCAACATCTCCAAAAGCACATTCTAATGAAGGCTGAGGATGTCTCGGAAGAGCGAATAAATCGCCGAAAGGCCGGGGGCACTCTCTCCTCTCTTTGATTCTCTTTTGGGCCTCAAGCGTTTGAACCAGCTGTTCTAATTCCTTCACAAAATCAATGGCTCCTCCAACTATGGAGGCCTGATCACCCTAATTAAAACCAAAACAATTGAACAACATTTTTGCTCAGTAACATTGTCACTAGGGATCTACATTTTAGAGACAGAAAGAGAGTTTTCTTATACCTTCTGGATGTAAGATTCAGGCATTAAAGACCGCAAGACGGAAAGGTACTCGTTCATCTGTTTCCTCCTGTTCCTCTCAATGGCGATGTGAGTCATTCGCTGGTTCTCTACTTCTTCCTTATTCTTGCAGCTCCTGCTTCTTCTCCTCTTCCTTCTTGCCACGGCTGCGGCTTTCGGCTCCGAAGAAGACGAAGCGTCCCACTGAACTTGGTCCTCTTCGGTTGTTATTGTGTCAATCTCCTCCTTCTCCAAGGCCTCCACTAAAGAGTACAGCTCTTTGCACCCATAATTGAAGAAGTTATGAGGAAAAGCCACTGCTTCAAGTGCCATGGCTCTTCTAGAGAGAGAAAGAGCCTTGTCCAAAAGCAAATTACAAGATCTCCTCTGTCAGAGAGCGAGAGAGAGCTTTTTGCTTTTGTGGATACTGACTGTAAACTCCCAAGACATACAATCACAAAAAGAAGAGAAAGAGAGAGAGAGAGAGAGTTTATCTATTCGTTGGACGGTGATGAGACTCACGAGACCATGAAATAAAAGAAAGGAGAGCATGTATTGGTTTTGTGCTCTTGGGTTCACTCCCCATATGCAGAGCGGCTCCGCTCTTTCTCGATGCGGAGAGAAAGGAGAAGCCTCGGTCGTTTATTTAAGGATGAAGAGGTAAACAGAGGGGCAGTGCAGTGTTGTAGTGTGTAGAGGCAGTTAAAAAAGCTACAGAGTTGCACGTGAGATTGCAGAGAGAGGAGTGGGATTAGAGAGAGAAAATGGGGTTTGATTACCATCTGCATTTGTTTTTGTTGTTCGGTTCGGTTTTGGTTTGGTTTGGTTTGGTGAGGGAGAGGGGAAAAAGAGCGTAAAAGGGTGAAGTGACGCAGGTTGCCTCCCTGCTACCAAAAGCAGATTCTGATGCAGCTGGCGTTGCGTTCAGCTTGCGGCTCAGACTCGGGCACAGAGAAGAAGAGAGAGACAGAGGGTTTAGAGAGAGAAAGTAGAAGGAGATGGAGGATTTAGAGAGAGAAAGTTAGACACAGAGGATTTTGGAGAGAGAGAGTTTTTTTAGAGAGAGAAGTGGCAGGCACATAATTCTGGGGTGGAGAATCGAGGTGACGACATACAATCATCCACATTCAACACCTTGTCCAACAATATTTCCTCTTTGTAATCCACTGCAATCTCTCTCCTTGCCTTTCTGTCTTATCCACCACATTTCCTCTCTTTCTCTCTCTAAAAACACACACTCTGCTCTCTCTCTCTACTAAAAAAACACTCTCCATTCCTTATTCCCGTCGCCACATATTAAATTCACGACATTCCTTGCTCCAATTCAAATATTCACTCCTTTCGTTTTCCCATCTTTTTCTTCCTCCTCTCTTTTCACTTTAAAAAACGAAAATTCCTTCGTATCTAAATATCTATATCTATATGTATATCACCCCATTATTGATTTAACATTTGACACGATTTTTTTCATTAGTTTATAATTGGTAAATAAGAGTTAAGCTTTATAATAGAGTTTAGAGAAAGGTGGAATAAGGGTTCACTTTTTGGCACCCACTTTTGGGTCCGGGTCTTATCCCAACGAGCCCAACGTACCGAACCACTGCAAACGCATATAAACTTATTGTTGTTTGCGTTTGGTTGGCTGCACAATTTTTCTCTATAATACAAGTACTTCTTTGTGGATTCAGAGCAGCTTCTTCTCTGCTTGCGCAGTTTTCAAGGGAAACGTAAACCAGCTTTTTCTCTCTAATTTTCCTCTCTATTATTTATGCATAAAGCATCTTTTTTCTTTTCTTTTTTTTTTTTCTCAAGATTTTACCCATGAGCCGGCTAAAAATCACCAAATTATCCTTTGGCCTATAACTTCGGTAATACATTTTCCTACACCCTTCATTTTTTTTAGTTTTGAATTTTCTCTGGTTCTATGTTTTAAACATCGAACCTCTTATTTTTTTTTTATGTTTTAACATTTGTGGGGCTGTCCAATATCTAAAACATGAAACAGTCATGTTTGTGGGGCGATCTAATGTCTGCAACATCAAACTACCCTACATTTTTATGCCCATCCCTTTGTACATGGTGATATGAAGCCCCACAAATGTCAAAAAATTAAATGTATAAAAAATAAGTGGTTGATCTTTGAAACATCAAACTAGGAACAAAAATTAAAAAATAATAGAAGTAAGGAAAGTAGGACATAGAGGTAAATTTACCGGACTTATAGACCAAAGGGTAATTTGGGCAACTTTACCCAGTCTATACGTAACAATCACTTTTTTCTTTTTTCTAGGATGTTATGGTTAGGTTGCAATTAGCTGTAGCGAGGGATGATAGACGGTAGTGATCGTCATGTGCATGCTTCCTTCGCATCAAATACATTCCCCCTACATTATTTGCCAACATTGAATTAACCTGCGGGCGGGGCCTGGGTCAGGCGGCCTTATTCCCCATATGGCCAGCCTGGATCAGTTCAAGGGGGCCCTAGGGCCGGGCTGGGCTAGATATAAATTTTAAAAAATAAAAATTTAAAGAAAAATAAGGCCAGGCTGAACCCTATCTTAGACCTGGCCCTCAAGCCATGTAGTCCGTCCCTCGGGCCACATTTTGTGGCCGAGGCCCTAAATTTTTTAGCCGGCCAACCCGGCATGATCTCTATGTAATGATGCCATTGCTTGAAGAGAGAGGTTGTTCCACGTGGAAGCATCTGGTATTATTTAGTGCTTTCATATCGTAGCAAGAAAAGCACTTCTCTTTTTACATGTCTTACTATGTTGTATGATGTGTGGCCCCTTTTAAATTAGAAAAAGAGTTTAGAATTCATATTGCCTAGATTAGTTTAGCATTCATATCTCCAGTGGTCACTTTAGTAAACATCGTGTTCACACGTTATATAAATCAAAAAGTAATGGATGGGGAAATAAAAAAGTAACGGATGGGGAAACAATTTACATTATATCGTGTTCACACATTATATAAATGAAAAAGTAATGGATGGGGAAATAAAAAAGTAATGGATGGGGAAATAATTTACGTTTTTCTTATACTATAAGGAAAATTTACGTGTTTCTTCCAAAGATGAGGCCTATTCAAAATGGAAGATCGTTTATGTTTCTTCACTTCAAACTAAACAAAAACCTTCATGTTTTTTTCTGAGCTATATAAATATAAAAATAGATTTAGAAGAAATTACATTTGGATATTTCTTGTCTCCAGTTTCTTTAGTTTTAGGTGAATGTGATATGTTTAACTCCCCTTCTCAAGGAAATTATTGATGCCTCTCTAAAATTTTGGCCTTAAACGGTTCTCCAACCCTATCAGTTGTGATTAATCAATTTTAATCATATAACACATAAAATCCTAACTATTGTATGATTTAAGGGAGGACACTCATTGATGAGCAGTTAATTAGAAGGATCACTTTTCATATTTGTGAGTTAGCGTTAAGGCATGAATTTATCACATCTTAGAAAAGGCAATTAGTGAGAACTTACAACTTACTTGGCAGCAACAAAGTATCAAGTTACCCATAACAGTAGCATGGTCTTTCCACATCACAACATTTTAAGCTAAATGTTGACAGGTCTTCTATTTAGAATCCAAAAAGGCTGGTTGTGGGGGTGTCATTAGACGGGATGATGGATCCTTCATTTCTGTCCTTTTGGTTCCTTTTGGTATTGCTTCTAATAATTATGCAGAATTTCGAGGTTTGTAAATTTAGCCATTCAAATGGATTGCTTCTCCCTAAAAATTGAAAACGATTCTACCTTACTTGTATAGGTCATACAAGGCAGACTTGACTGCAAGTTCAGACTTTCTATGTTTACCGTGATGTTACTATGGTGGCCGATGTACTAGCTCAAAATGCTACAGTTTTGGCAGAGGCCACTATTTGGTGCTCCAGGACTCCAGAGTTTCTTAACCTTCTTTTACTTCATGATGTGGCGCAGTTACAATATTGTAAGATTGTAAAATAGTATGATGTAATTTTTTCTATCGTTTGTTAATGAAAAATGTGTAGAGGGCCTTCTCCCCCACTGATTTACCAAAAAAAATACATAAAATCCTTGTTTGTACAGTTAGAGAAAATAAAGCAAACATTTTATGCCCCACACAACTTTCACTACCCTGGATATAGAAAAGAACCATCAAAATATATAAAGTCATCCTTTGGGGCATTGCTGATAGTATACAAGAAGTAAAAATATTAAGTGAGAATTGAAACCAAAAGTGGTAGATTTAAACCTATAAACAAATGGCAAACCAAAGAATCTAAGGGCATGGGGCCTCCAAATCTAAACACATTTTAAACCCTGTTGCTATATGTGATCCGAACATCAAGGCCCCATCAACCCTCACTTTTCGTGTGGAGTGTCTTTCCAACTTCCCTTCATTGTGTACCCGCTGTTTGTCGTAGAGCACAAAGACAACTAATAAGCTACATCTCTTTCTTTGATTCCATTGTCTTCTTCTAACTGAACTGAGGCCTATACAGACCCCCTTCCACTTGATACCAAAAAGGGCTTTTGGCTCTTCACATTTCAAGGGTTTAAAGTCTAAGGCTCAATTGGAAGCCACTACTTGTCGTAAACCGAAGGTTATCTACAGTAATGAACCATAAATATAAAAGTTAAAGAAACATTTGTGAAGGATCTGCTTTCTTTCTCAAGTATGTCACAAGATTCTATGCTTCTAATGGCGCGTTTCGCCCATCCTTTTTGGTAAATTCTGATTTCAGGGTAATTTTGTAAGGAATAGAATGGAAATAGACCATTTACTTTTGGCAAAAGGAGGTCACAAGTACTCTTGCTCGTGTATTATTGATTAGACTTAAAGTTCAAAAATAAATTCTCAAACTTCATTACATTTATCCCTAACCATCCAATTTGATATCTAATGACACCAAAATACTTGTAACTTCCTTGTAACATAGATAAATTGATCTTGTAGCCACAAATATAATAATAAAAGAAAACATCAAATATAGTTTGTATTTTGCTTGGTAAAATAAGGTCATAATACTGAATATGGATCATTCAATTTTTAGATAGTCCAGTGTAAGTGTTTAGGAATTCAAAATCAAAATTTCTTTAGGGCCCGTTTGGCTCATTGGATTCAGATTTTTAGGAATCACTTTTCCTAGAAAACTTGGGCCAATCACGTTTGGTTCGCTTAGAATTGACATTTCCATTGGAATTGAGATTTTCGTAGGATTCCTCAATGCTCATTTTAAGTCTAGATTTTAGAAATCTCAATTCCTTCAAAATAGGTGGAATTGACATTTTATGGAAATGACCCATTTTCCTGCTGAAGAACAAAAATAATATCAAAATTTTAGAGAGGAAAACTATATCAAATTTTAGAGAGAGAAAACATATTAAAATTTTAAAGGGGGAAACTATATTTTAGAAACAAAGTATACAAAAAAATTTAGAGAGAGAAAATATATGAACTTTTGAAGAGGAAACTATCTCCAATTTTTAGAGAGAGAAACTATCTTAAATTTAAAGTTTTGGAGAGACCATATTAAAATTTTAGAGAGATAAACTATCTCAAATTTTAAGTTTTAGAGAGATAAAGTATCTTAAAATTTTAGAGAGAGGAACTAAAAAGTTTTTAGAGAGAAATATCTCAAAACATATAGAGAGAGAATTATCTCAAATTTTAAGTTTTAGAGAGAGCATATTAAAATTTTAGATATTAGAAACTATATCAAATTTTACATAGAAAACTATCTAAAAAGTTTTAGATAGAGAAACTATCTCAAATTTTAAGTTTTGGAGAGATAAAATATCTTAAAACTTTAGAGAGAAACTATAACAAATTTTAGATAGAGAAAGTACCTAAAATTTTTAGAGAGAGAAACTATTTCAAAATTTGTAGAGAGAGAAACTATTTTAAATTTTAAGTTTTTGAAAGAGATTGTATTAAAATATTAGAAAAAATTTTAGAGAGAGAAACTATCTCGAAAATTTTAAAGAGAGAGAAAAAAGATTTGAATTTTCACAAAAAAACATGTACTAGACAATCCAAATAGGAAATTTACATTTTCTTGATTTATACCATATGCGATCCACACATCATACATCATATTCCATAAAATGTCAATTCCAGTAAATCTCAATTCCAAGTTTGACTTTTCTCATGATTGAAAAATCTAAGGATCCAAATAGGCCCTTAGATAAAATAATAGGGTATCATGTGG